AGCCTGGAGCCGGAGACCCCTCCGACAGGGATAACTGGATCAAAGAGATAGCAATCAGTTGCGCACCCAGGTTGGACTTGCTTAATCCTAGCCAACTGGATTCTATCAACTCCAGTATCTCATGTTCACTGTTAAGAATTCAGGCAAAGCAAGGTTTCACAACAGACTGCCACTTAATCTTGTTCTGGTCCCTCAGGAAGCCTCCCAGGCAGTTTCCAAGCTCTGGCCTCTGCCCTCCACTCAGTCTGTGTCCTGCCCTCCTTCCTCCCTGAGGTGGGCTACAGGCACTGACACACCCATCCCCCTCCTAAAGTTCAGATGACTTTTCCACCCATATCACCATTGGGTCAATCCCCTGCCTCTGCCCTTATCTGCAACTACCCTTGTCCATTGTTCTCTGGGTTCCCACCCCTACAAAGTCTGTCTCACAAAAGGAAATGTCGTTTGTATAATTGGAGATGTTCTTGATTATGAACAGAGGGCAGTTCTGTGCTCTCCTGACTCATTGCACCTCTGAATACCTGCCTTGGCCAGACCAGGGTCTCCCAGGATGGATATGGGCCTTGCTCTTTCCTGTTCTCTCTAACCTCCCTCTGGGTGTGGACAAAGCAGAAGTGGGCCCCAGATGGGGGAAGTATGGAGGGGAGAAAGACTGTGGTGGATGGTCCAAAGCTACAGATGTCCTGAGACCCTCTACGATGTGTCTCCTTCGAGAAAGTGAGGACCCATTGTGCCTCTTCTTCATGCTTTTGCTCATTCATTTTTTCTTTTGTTCACTCATTCTGTAGGTGGTTATGGCGTCCGGCACCTGACACAGGAAGGTCAGTTCCTACCTTCCAGCAGCTGATGTCTTTGCTCACCAAGCAGTAAGTGGGACCCCTTAGCTATGAGCACAATTTAACTGTTGTCCAGTTAAATAATGAGAACCTTCGCAAGCTGTCCAGCTTCTCTGGGCCCTCCCTGGAAATCTGCTAAGTTGCCTCTTCCTCCACAGCCAATCTTCTCCATCCACAGCATGCTCCAGGCATCGTTCCTGAGGCCAGTCTCTCTGCCCCAAATTATGGAAGGGTCAGGGCCAAACAGGCTAGCCCAAAAGGCCCCTGTATCCTCCCTCAGCTTCCTTCTGCTGTCAACCACAGCCTACCATGTGGCCCCAGAGAATGGGAGGCCATGGCCTTGTGCAACCTGGAATCTGGGGAAAAGCCACCACAGACTGCCAGTCAATGTCAATATTATTTGTCAAGCACTCTGGGTTCTGTCTGTGTTGAAACAAACAGTCTTGGTCTTTGTCCCCATGCAAAGGTCACCATTGGCCGCTGATGCCCACAGGGCTCTGCTGATGAAGGGACTGTGAGGCTGTGGGAGGCTGACAAGTATCTACATTGGACCCTCCTACCACGCATAGGTCTAGTCCCTCTTTGGCCCTGGGCCTCAAGACCCCAAAGACTCCATTGACTGAGGTTCTGACTGGGCTGGCATAGGAACGTGCTCCATGCAGAAGGCAACTTTTGAAACTGCACCTGGAGCTGTTTCTGGCACAAGAAAGAGAATCTGGGGAGAAGACAGAGCCTGGTGTCTCTGCTAGTTGGGTGTGGGAGCCCAGGTCCCAGAGGGCAGGTTGCAGTGTTCTGCACCTCTGGTGAGGCCTCTGTGCTCTGGTTGGGTAGCTGAAACCACTGCATTCTGGTTATTCAACACTGGGGATACCAGCATGGCTCAGACCGGCCCCCTTCCTCTCCTCATGTATGGGGACAGCATTCTAGATGGTCCTCATTCCTAAGAGCAGGTGTTAACACTGTCCCTCAGGTGTGTGCACAGGGTTTCCTGTGGTTGGATACCTGGGCTGGGATTGTTCCATATGAGTTGATAAGGATAAGTTGGTGTTACGAGGCAACAGAGGAAGACGCAAACAACAGAAGAGCATTCAGCAGAGAAAACAGCCCAGACAAAGCCACAGGTGCCGTATTCCATTAACTGCAGACAGTCCTGAAGCTGGAAAGGCTGATGGGGAAGGTGAAAGTGGCAGGAAAGGCTAGGCACGGGCCAGATCACAAAGGGCCTTATTCCCTGCCACGGACTGGGCCTTCTCCTTTGGCAATGGAGTGTCATTGAAGATTTTTAATAGGGAACAAACAAGACAAATGTGCTGTCTGCAGAGATGACTGGTAGGAGTGTGAAGGTGATCTTAAGGGATCACTGGAGGGAGAGAGAACAGGTTGAGAGAGGTTGTCATAGACTCCAATGCACCAAACAACAACGTACACATAATCCAGCACACACACACACCGCAACCTACGCCGCCCCGTTCAGTTCTTCTGCGCTACCTCCACTGAGGCCACTAGATGGCACCAGACACCACCAATTGGGGGTGAAAGGGTTCCCATGAAATGAAACCAAAACCAAAATCTGATCAGCCAGTCTGCAGTTAATTCTGACTCATAGCAAACCTATCGGATGGAGTAGAATTGCCCACACTGGATTTCCAGTGGATTAGGTTTTGGTCTAATCTCAAAGTGGGTGGTTCAAACTCACCAGCCACTCCGAAGGGAAAAGATGAGGCTGTCTGCTGCCAAAAAGATTTGCAAATTCAGAAGCCCTTACAGGGTGGCTAGGAGTCGGAACCGACTATACGGGACGAGGGTTTGATTTGCTTAAACTTTACAGAAGCAGACTGCCACATCTTTCTTCCCAACGGAAGATCAACTGGAGGGATTAGACCTCTAACCTTTCAGTTAGCAGCTAAGTACTTTAACCATTGTGCCACCAGGGCTCCTTTTCCCACGGAATAAGGGACGGCAAGTGGGGGGAGGGGAGGTCACGGAAGCAGTCCATACCTTGAAGGACTGCCAGTTTAGTCTAATTCTAATTTAATTCATCTAAAATAAATTCTTACAAATATGCATTCTTATAAAAATTGTTTTTATAAATATATTTGTGAAGATAATATTCTTGAATATAAATATACTCACAAATAATTTTTCTTAGCCTCCTCAGCCCTTTTCCTCCTTCCCGATTCCCACTCCACCCCATGATCCCCCCACCCCCATCAGTCTTCTGCAACAACAGCAGGGAGCAGGGAACTGGGGCAGAGAGCAATGACCAATTTATACATTCTTCAAAATACTGATCTAAAAATGAAAAAAAACAATGCAATGAGATTAAATTGGTCGATCTGGCAATTGAAGGATCTCCAGATTGACTACCTTCCGGTGGGGGTGGGAGCGTGGGAGGGGCAGCATCCGCCCAGTGTCCATGAGAGCATGCGCTGCCCTTGGGCGTCCTCTTGCGTGCAGCCCAACACCTTTTCTGGTTGCTCTGAGACAATCCACAACGCCTGCACCTCATCTAGGCTAACTCAGTCACCAGCGAGGGATATGATCTGGAAAGATCCCCAAAGAGGCCATGATCTGGCAACAATTAGCAAGTGCCCTGAGCAGGACTCTGGGAGGATCAAGGACAAATTCAGAATAAGCCCTCAGGGAGGGCAGAAGTCTCCCTGGCCTCACAAACCACAGTCCCCTTGAGGTTTCTAAGTGAAAAATGGAGTGCGGTCTAATGTACTTTCGGCTTATGCTTTTCCGTTTTCTAGACTAGGAACTGAGGTGAAGAGGCAACAGGACCAATGGGCTCCTCTGGGTTCCGACAGCAGGCTCAGAGCCTTGGCCAGCTCTGTCACCAGGCTGGACTCCCTCAGCTAGTCGTGTGGTAGTTGATGGGACAAAGCAAAAAGCACCAAATTTCAGAAATAGGAGTTCCAATTGAACTCTGCTAAATAACCTCACCGTTCTGGTGTGGCGCTGTGGGTTAATGCGCTGGACAGCGAAGTCGATTTGAACAGCAAGGTTGGTGGTTCAAGCTCACCAGCCACTCCTCGGAAACCCTACACAGGATTGCTATGGGTCGGAACCGACTCAACGGCACTTAACAACAAGAAGCAACCTCACCAGAGCAGCCTCTGCATGCCCGCTACAAGCTCAACAAGCCTCTCCCAGCCCACCTCCGCTGCCTTCAGAGAAACCCTGAAATCCTGCCTCCCCTGTATTGCCCTGGCTGGTAGGAGGAACTCCAGCCGTGTCCCACCTCCACCTGGACAAACCCCAGTGAACCTTCCCATGCTCCACCCCCACCCTTGCCCTGAGTCCCCTCACAGTGAACATTCCGGCTACACAGTCTCCATATGTGCTTTTATTCTCAGGTTGCAGTGCCAAGCTGACGCAGGCTGGGTGAGTCTGGGGCAGGGTCCAGATGTCCAGTACTGAGTGGGGGTGGGTGTTTTTGATGAAAATAGAGGCCTGGGACACAACTTGCAGACTAATTGCTCTGAAGTTAAGGAAGCCCTTGCTCGCTATAGAAGATGCTTAGCCAGGGCCCAGCTTCTATTCATGGGGTTTCACTGGCTGACAGGTGCAGTGTGCCTCGAGAGACTTTAGAGACATTGCAACACAGGCCTGGTGAGTAGTCAGCACCCGAAGACCCGTTCCCCACAGACGCTGTATGACTGCCCACTGGGAGTTGGTTAATCACAGACCTCCTGAAAAGGGTCTGAGGCTTGGCCAGGACCTGTTACTCTGAGCAGTGGCTACACACAAGGTCTGTGCTTAGGGCCCTGTGACTGGGGAGAAGAATACATACAGGAAGAGAAGGGTGACCCCAGGGAGGAGACAGAGGACCAGATGGCTGGGGCAGGAAGGGATGGCAAAGGAATAGCCTTTTGTTCACTTGTAACCTCTCTGGGACGTTGTACTAACATTTCTCCACTTCTCAGACCATAAGTTGGGGCACCCTCAGGCTGGCAGTGGACTCTGTCATTGAAAGTGTGCTTGTGTGTGTGTGCTTACATGAGCATGGACACACACACACGCAGGCTCACATGTGCACTAGACAGTAGGGATGGGTTAGGGTAGTATAAGGAGCTAGAGGGAAGGTGTGTTCAAGGTGGAGATAAAAGTCCAGAAGAGACCACCAGGAGATAAAAGCTCAGGAAGAGGCCCCGTGGGTATTTAAAAGTTGATGCTCTTCAAGTCCATGGAGCAGCGGTACCTGCCATCCAGAAACCTGGAACAGAGCAGGTTGGGTACACAGGGACAGGTGTGGTGCTGGCGTTTTCTGAAAAAGGGGACCTGGGAAAGAGAAGAAAGCAAGAACAACAGTCACCATATAGAGGTCTACTGCCTGGAAGGAGTTTCTGCCAGCCCAGTCCCTGACAAGTGATCCTCCCCACCCAGTATAAACACTGTAATTCTAGATGAGGAAACTGAGACACAGAGTGACTTAGCAACTTTCCAAGATCACACATCTAATTTGTGGAAGAGCCGGGATTTGAACTCAAGCAGTCTGACTCTTGAAACTTAGTGATTCGCCACAACACTCTCAGCCACGAGTCCTAAAATCCACAACTCCACACTGCCCGTCTAGACCCATTTACTGGCCCGGCACACACACTCACACACACATACACACTCACTGACTGAATATCACTATTGCACGTTGTCATGGATTGAATTGTGTCCCCCAAAATCAATCCATGGTACCTAGGACATGGCCTTGTTTGGAATTAAGGTCTTTGACGATGTTACCAACTAAGGTAATATGAGGTCATACTGGGTTAGGGTGTGTCCCGATCCAGTACCAGTGGTGTCCTTATAAAAATGAAGTGGCACAGAGCAAAGACATTCATGTGAAGATACACCTACAAGCCAAGAAACACCAAAGACGGAACATCAGGGACCATTAGAAACTGGAGGAGACAAGGCAGGGTCTTTCCCTAAAGCAAGCAAGCATGGCCCTCCCTGCCAATGCCCTGAATTCACTTCTAGCCTCCACAACTGGGAGAAAATAAAGGCTTTCCTCTTTGAAGTCACACACACACACACACACACACAAAAACGTTTTGAAGTGAATTCCAACTCATGGCAACCCCATGGGTTACAAGTAAAACTGCTGCATGGGTTTTTTGGCTGTGGTCTTTATAGAAGCAGATTTCCAGACCTTTCTTCCAAGGTCCCTTCTGGGTGGGTTCAAAACGCCAACCTTTAGGTTAGTAGTTGTGCCACCTAGGACTTTTAGAAGCCACCCTCTTTGTGGCTCGCTGTTGCGGACCATGTAAGACTGGTCAGAGGTTCAAGGCCCTATAGGCCCGAGTGTAACAAATGAAGCCACTTGGCAGTTAATAGCAAATTGTTTTTCATCAAATTGTTTAGTCATATTTATTTAATTCCAAACATGAGCCCTGGATGTCCACAGAGAAATGCAATATTCCCCTAAATTTCTAAGGTCAAGATTTTCCCCCTAGAACCAAGGCAGTAAAACTTCCTCAGAGGACCAACAAGGACAGGTTTACTGGGATTAAGCAGGGAGGCTCTGGAGAGGAACTGCCCGGGGTATATTCACTTGGGGTGGAGCAGTAAATTCTGGGAATACGGGATTAAGGACAATGGGGACAACGCCCTCGGACCACCCTGGGTTCAATCAGTTTGATCCAAGTGAAGGTTAAACCCAGTAAGGAAGAAAGAAATATTGGTTTAAGTATGGTTTACTGGCTTAACTTATTTTAAGGATTGTCTTGTCTGAATAATACCATTCTTCTGTAAAGATCCCTCCCAGCTTGGTGTGAAGCTCCTCCCCTAAATAAAAGAGAGGCCCGAGCCTCCCCAGGTATGCATTGCTGGTTGGGAGGCATGGAGTAAAGATTGCGGTGCATTACTGGTTGGAAGGCTTGCAGTAAAGATTGCGGTGCATTGCTGGTTGGGAGGCATGGAGTAAAGATTGCGGTGCATTATGGGTTGGAAGGCATGCAGTAAAGATTGCAGGGCAGTGAGTCGCTGCCTGCAGAGGCCATGATGCCTGTAGTCCCGAGCCTGCCCACTAGTGATGTATCCACCCTGGCTTTGGGGTGCCTCATTGTCTCCCTTCTTCTGTTTGTCTGTGTATTCTTTCGCTATCCACATCGCCGCTGGATCTCCCCTCCTCGTGAACCAAACACTCATGAAAACACAACTATGTCGAGGGCAGACCCGGGCAGCTCGCAGCCCTGAAAAACAAATATGAAACTATATGTGCAGGACTCCTGTCCTCTTGGCAATCACAGCCCTGGGGAGCCCTGAGCTACTGAAGGGTCATCAGGGGGCTGTTGAACAAGAGCAATTAGGAGCACAGACCCAGAATCGGACTATCTGGGATCAAATCCCAGGTCCAGCACTTACCAGCTGTATGGCAATTGACAAATTATTTAGTCTTTCTTTGCTTCAACTTTATTATTTGTACAATGGGTTAATAATAGCACCTACCATACATGATAAGAAGCTCTGGTAGCATAGTGGTTACAATTCGAGCTGCTAATCTCATGGTCGGCGGTTCAAAACTACCAGTAGTTCTGTGGGAGAAAGATGGGGCTTTCTGCTCCTGTAAAGATTTATAGACTCAGAAACCCTATACAAGGTTGCTGTGAGTCAGGGCCAACTCCACAGCACATAACCACCACCACCACTATACATGGTTGTTGTTGTTGTTGTTGTTGTTGTTGTTGTTAAGTGCCGTGGAGTCGGTTCCGACTCATAGCGACCCTGCACAGGGTTTCCGAGGCTGTAAATCTTTACGGGAGCAGAACGCCTCCTCTTTCTCCCGCGGAACCGCTGGTAGTTTCGAACTGCTGACCTTGCGGTTCACAGCCCAATTCGTAACCACTACGCTACCAGAGCTCCTTATACATGGTTGTAAAGCAGTTTAAATTATACAATTCACAAAAAAATATTTGGTAACACAGAGTAAGCATTTAGCATTAACTTTATTACAATCGCTGTCCCAGCTGGGAATTTGGATCTTTGACTAAACTACCTCACATACCCCAAGGTGATGAAGATAGCTGTGTTGTGCAGCTTCGTCTCTCCCCTTCATCTCCTCATTCACCTGGCAACTGTGATTAGGAAGATAATGGATGGAGGATGCTCTGAAACACATTAAACCAGGGCTCCTGGGTCCAGGTCAGCACCCGAGGACCAAGTATTCCTGAACTGCAGAGCTTAGGTGACTGGCAGGCCTGGGCCCCTCCCCAGCCACTGCCCAGGTCCACACCTGGCCATTCATTAAGTCAAAGCCCTAGGAATCACACTTTGTCTTCAGGGTTTGGAGAGGACTCCTACACAGCAAAGGGTGTTTCAAAATCTGCGTTTACTGCCATCGGGGTAATCAGTCTTCTCCCTTGTATAGATGAAGAGGCTGTGGGGACAAAGGAGTTATGCTGATTGTCTAAGATCCCACAGCAAAGGTGGGCTGAGATGGCCCAGCCCTGGTCTATATGATTGGTATTCCCATCCCACAAGATCCTCCCAAAAAAAGCCAGAGGTGCCCCTATATTAAATACAATATTACTAGAGTTGGAGCCACAAAACTACCCCAGCTTTGTCTCTTCAGCTGTGTGCTTTGCATAAGTCACATGACCTGGCAATACCTCAGTTTCCTTACCTGTAAAATGGGGACCTAATACCAACTGCCAGGGTTTTTGTGAAGGTTAGATTAGATCAGGGGTTCTCCAGGCTGCATGAAAAGGTTGCACATGGAAAATGTGAGTTCCTGTACAAAAACCTAACCAGTTGCCGTAGAGTCAATTCTGACTCCTGGTATTTCCATGTGTGTCAGCTTGGACCTGTGCTCCATAGGGTTTTCAATGACTGAAGTAGATCACCAGGCCTTTCTTCCTAGGTGCCTCTAGATGAACTTGAGTCACCAACTTTTCAGTAGCAGATGAGCATGTTAACTATTTGCACCACCCAGGGACGCCATACAAATGTAAGTGGTAGTCTCAGTGGGACACCAAGTAAAGTCAGTATTTGGAGGTAGCTGGTACAGCAGCAGCAGCAGCAGGACCTCCATAGCTGTCCCCTTTTCCTCAGACAGTCACCGGTCCTCCCCAGCATACCCCTCAGGAGCCACAACCTCACCGGGACAGCTGAGTGAGAGATAGCCCTCCCTCAGGCCCAGGCCCCGCACCTAGTGTTTAGCCGGAATATCTCAGTCCCGAGCCCTGCATGCCCACGAGGCGCGTTGTGTGGTACCTTGTGGCTGCCAGGGTGACACAGCTCTCCTTCCCGCCCCAGTGGGGTACACATCCGCAGCCCACGCAGCCACAGGCTGATGGCGCAGCACGTCCCCGCCCCGCACTGAACATCTCGCTCACAGGCCTGCAGGAGGGAGACAGAGAGGCCAGCCCATTAGTGCCACCAAGAGAAATGAGAGAGAGGACCTCCAAAAACCCTTGTCAGGGGCAGTAAAAAAAAGAACCAGGCAGGCTGACATTGGTCTGTGCACTACTGCCCGCCAAAGAGGGGTGCTCGGGCCTCAGCTGACATCACACTCCTTAGAGGCCATTGTATGAGGAGCTTGTCCTCTGTTCTGGCAGGATTAGAAGTTAGCAGTCACAGCTTCTTAGGGTCTGTAACCCCAGTACTTGGTCAGGTCTGTTGTTTGTTGTTAAGTACCATCCAGCTAGTTCCGGCTCAGTGACCCTGTATAGTGTTCCCAATGAGCAGCTGGTGAATTTTAACTGCCGGCCTTGCAATTCAAATCAATCTTGCAGTTCAGTGCTTATCCTACAGTGCTATATCAGGACTCCTGGCCAGGGTCTGGTACATAGTAAATGTTCAGTGGTGGTGGTTATGTGCCATGGACTCGGTTCCAACTCATAGCAACCCTGTACATCTTTGTTGTTGTTGTTGTTAAGTGCCATCGAGTCGGGTCCGACCCATAGCGACCCTGTACAGGGTTTCCGAGGGTGTAAATCTTTACGGGAGTAGAAAGCCTCATCTTTCTCCCGCGGAGCGGCTGGTAGTTTCGAACCGCTGACCTTAAGGTTCGCAGCCCGATTCGTAACCATTACGCTACCAGATCTCCTTCTGTACATCTTTACGGGAGCAGAAATCCTCATCTGTCTCCCGCGGAACAGCTGGTAGTTTCGAACCACTGACCTTGTGGTTTGCAGCCCGATTTGTAACCACTATGCTTCCAAATGTTCAATGGATGCTATTAAATGGAATTGATTAGAATCATTGGAGGGGGAAAGGGAACTTCAGTCCCTGGTGGTCCAGAGCCTTGGACCAAAACCCTCCAACCCTGACCCAGCATCCCTGGTTGGTATCCCCACACACTCACTGGCATCTCTCAGCCCCTATGACGGAGTGCCTTCCCCCAGGCCTCCCTGCCGGTCCTCTGATTCCCAGGAAGAGATGGACTCCTCTGGATTGAACTCACAGAACAGGGCTGGGTGGTTCTGTCCTGTTTCTGGAAGTGCCCTTTGTAAGAGTCACACAAGCCTTCTTTAAACAAAAACTTGGGTTCAGGTAAACAGAACTCTAAGCTGCTTCAGACTCAAATGGGACACAGTGAGATGCATCCAAACATTCCACTTCAGTGAAGCTTTGTGTCTCTTCGGAGCTGAAATTTGGAGCTGGTTTTTGTGGGCTAACGTGTCAGACTGCAAAGTGATTTGAACTATAAGGTCAGTAGTTCAAGCTCGTCAGCTGCTCATTGCAAACCTTATACAGGGTCACTATGGGTCGGAATTGACTCAACAGTACTTAACAACAACAACAACTTCTCCAAGAGAAGGCAGAGGCACACTCTCTGGCTGCCTGCAGAGGCTGAATCTCCCAACTGGCTCAGCCCCAGGAGAGAAAGTCAGGGAGCACCAGGTGGCTTATGCAGTCATCCATCCCAGGTGGAGCACGTCTCCCACAGAGAAGGTGAGGGTGAAGCACACCCACAGGACTCTCCTTCTCCTGTCAGGGTGGGAAGCTGCTGTCCCTCCCTGGGCAGACGGACCATAGCCCTGACGTCAGAGTTCATCGTCATACAAGGAACAGGAGAAGGTAGAGAAGGTGGAATCTGGGCTATACCTAAGAGGCAGACATGGGCACCAACCTAGCCAGGCAGGCAGACAGGAGCTGGAGAGACTCCTGCTTCCCCTCACCCTGTCATATCCTTCGATCACTTCCTCCCCCAGTCTCTCTCACTGCTCCTTTCAATGAAATGACGTGAAGAATATACTGTGAGGATGTTTCCCACCTCTCCTATCTGCTGCCCCTCTGGACAAATGTCCTCACATGGTGAAGTGAATCTGAGTGCCATGCCTGGTGTCACTCACTGTGAGCTAACCGTGGCTTTGCTCTTTTGTCCTCTCCCTCCCAGATCTTCAAGCTACACAATGGGAGAAAGGCCTCCGTGGTTTACTTTCATGAGGTCTAATCCATCCTAACAATTTTATTCACGCTTTGGGTCTCAAAAGCATTGCCTTTAATATGTGTTCTTTTGAACTCCGTCTTTTTTCCCTTTAAAGAAGAAAGACATGCTCTTTTCTGCAAACATTAAAACTAATCCAATTCTAGGAATTGCTTGGCATTTCTCTACATTTCCATTTTCTGTGTAAAAAAGTTGGAGGAGGTTTCAATAAAAGTGTACTTTTCTCCTTGTTTTCTAGCAGCTTTTATCTGGGACACTGTCAGGTAAAATATTGCTTTCTGCTTTAATAAGAATGGTTCCACATGTTAACACAATGTGTGCCCCGATTTAAGAAGCTTCCAGGTAAAGCCAACCATCTGGGAGAAAACCAGAGCCTGAGTTTTGAGTGTCATACTGAATTGTGTTCATGTGCACAGAACGTCTGATTTGAGGTTTATATTCTGGATGCTTGTTTTGGGATACAAGCAACTAAATTTTTATGTTCCTTATATTCCCATCAAAACTGAGCATAAACAACAAAGAAAAGAAAGAGGTCCAAAGCTTCCTTTCTTAGGAATAGAGAAAGCAGAAGCTAAACTTGCACAATAGATGTTAATTAGCTTATTTGCCTTTAATTAAGTCAATGAGCTATGTAAATTAAACATGACCTTCAGACTGGACCATATACGAAAACGAAAATTCTCACAAAAGATAATTTAACCAAAGCCAAAAAGAAAAAAGGAAAAAAAATCAAAGTCAATTCTGACTCCGAGCCACCCTGCAGGACAGAGAAGAACTGCCCCATAGGGTTTCCAAAGCTGAAATCTTTATGGAAGTTGTTGTTGTTGTTGTTGTTAAGTGCTGTTGAGTCAGTTCTGACCCATAGCGACCCTGTATAGGGTTTCCAAGGAGCAACTGGTGAGCTTGAACCACCGACCTTGCAATTCAAACAGCTTTGCAGTCTGATGCATTAACCCACAGCGCCACACCAGGACTCGTGGAAGTAGGATTATCCTCCTACAGAGTGACTCATGGATTTGAACTGCTGACCTCTCAGTTAGCAGCCAAGTGCTTAACTACTGTGCCACAAGGACTTATTGAAGGTAAATTAAGGTGTGAATAAAATTCACCTGGTGTGGCACTATAAGATAAGCACTGGACTGCTAACCACAAGATTGGCGGTTCCAACCCATCAGCCACTCAAAAACCCTATGCCGGCCTGCTATGAGTCAGAACCAACTGATAGCACTTAACAACAACAAGAAACACACTTAATAAAGGAATTCCTTATTATACAATAAAACCACTTTGCCAAAGACATAAACTGTAATTTTTCAATGTTCTCCTAATGTGTTTAAAACAATTAAACAAAATGAAAAAAGGATTTGATTTACACACAGTTTCTCCAAAGCAGATGCTATTTAGTAGTGTGAGGTCCAACCAATCTGAAGATCATGTGAAATTGCTCTCTGAAGTGCTGTTGACTAACTTCCCCCATCCCTTTGTGGGTTTGTTCTGTGTCCAGCCAACAGAACTGCCTACTTCATCCCTGTGTTCACATCCCATGCAATTCCTGACATTTCCCCCAAACCCAGGGCTTAGAGAATGTTAGAAGACTTACCCCTGTAATCACAGCACAGTCAGAAAAAGTTATAAGGAGGAACATGATTGAGACGTGAACAGATGTTCTCATGGTCACTTGGATGAAGGCAAACACTGTCCTCTGATGCTTCTCGCTGCCTCTCGCCTCGTGCCCGTCAAGCTGGAAGGCGAGAGGTATTCTTGCACTCTCCCTCCTCCCAGATTTATACGGTCCATCTAGGGCTGTTCTTCCTTCACCATCACCGATGTTATTCACATGAGCTCAGAGACCAAGATGAGACCTGAATCTCTAATGGCATCAAATCACCATCAAACCCAATAAAATTGAATACATTGGGGGATTTGACAGTTGCACTAACTCTCCCAAGAATGCAGTGATTCAGCCGCATTTTGTACTTTTCATTCAATATTCTTCTCTGCCTCTCAGGCATCTTTCTCTCCTGCTTGAGGCAGTGGGAGGGCTTTGGTGATAAATTAAGGGATTTACAACATGGTCATTTATCCTTCCCTGCATCAAACCATGCAACATACAGGAAGATTGGTGTCAGCTTCCCCAAGCTAGCAGAGATCATCTTGGTGCTCACCACAGGCTCCATGCACATAGGGCTAGGAGCTGAGGGAGCACAGTGGTTGAGGCAGCCCCTGTAGCCAGAAAGCTAAAATTCCAGTGAGTGACTTGAGACAGCGAGAAAGGAAAAGAAGCTTGATAGGATTTGTGTTCCTGGTGGTACAATAAAGAATTGTTCTCTAATGGACTCAGGACAAACCAGTGTCACTTGGTATAGGACCAAAAATGCATATGACCAGCATCATCTCATCATCCTGCAGAGAAGCAAGCTTAGGCTGGGGTCCAGCTAAAGGTACCAAGAGCCACTTGCTTTAGTCTTCCTTTATGGGGCAAGCATGGATATACTTATTGGTGGAGGAATAGGCTGTGAACTCAGAAGCCAATGTTACAAGAAGTTGAGTTCAATTTGGGCACAGTGCCCAAATTGAATGGGGAAACGTCTGATTTTTAACTCTCTCATTGAGAAACTGTGTAGTGAAGAATTATGTGGAATTTTTTTATTAGATGCCATTAAGTCCATTCTGATTCATATCAACCCCATATGACCCCATGTGACATAGTAAAATTGCCCCAAAGACTTTTCTAGGCTGAAATCTTTGCAGGAGCAGATCATTAGAGGTTTTCTCCCCAAGGAATTGCTGGGTAAGGTCTTTATTCCCATTTAGCTACTAGATGGGTTCGAACCATCAACCTTTCTGCTAACATCTGAGCACTTAACCATTTTGACACCAGGGATCCTTAGTGAAAAATTAGCTTTACCCAAAAAGGGTTTTTTAATCTTTACCAGTACTATCTTAAGTCCTCTTTGCTTTCACTAAGCAAGGTTGTATCACCTTCATATTGCAGATTGTTAATGAGTCTTCCTCCAATTTTGATGCCAAGTTCTTCATCATATAATCCAGCTTCTTAGATTACATGATCAGCAAGCAGAATGAATGAGTATGATAAAAGAATGCAACCCTGGTGCATATCTTTCCTGATTTTAAACCATTCAATGACCCCTTGTTCTGTTTGAACAACTGCCTGTAGGTCTATGTACAGATTTCATATGAGCACAATTAAATTTTCTGGAATACTCATTCTCCTTAGTGTTGTCCATAGCTTGTCATGATTCACACAGTTGAAAGTCTTTACATAGCCAATAAAGCACAGGTAAACATCTTTCTGGTATTCTGTACTTTCAGCCAAGATCCATCTGATTTCAGCAATGATATCCTTCATTCCATGTCTCTGTCAATGGACTGTAGGTATAGTTTTTGGATTATCTTTAGCAAAATTTTACTTGCATGTGATATTAATACTATCTAACGATTTCTGCTTTCTGTTGGGTCACCTCTCTTTGGAGCAACACACAAGCCACCACAGTACAACAAACTGACAGACAAGTGGTGGAAACAGAACATGGCAACTGGTGATGTTTTAAATGCAGTGAAGGTGTTTCTGAGGAGATGACATTTGAGCAGAAACCTGATGAAGTAAAGGAGTGAACTGTGCTGAGGCCTGCAGGGGGAGCCAGTGCAAAGGTCCTAAGGCAGGGCCTTCTAGACTGGTTCTAAGAGAAGTAAGGAGCCCAGTAAGCTATGGAAGGTAGTGGAGCAGGCCCAGCTAGAGCAGTCACCGGGGCCATGCTATGCAGGCCTTGGAGGACCAGAAAAGGAAGCCAAGGACTTGACACCTAGTGAAATGCCAAAACCTTTGGAGGGTTTAGAGAAGGGGAGGGTCAGGACCTGATTTACAGTCTGAAAAGATCCCTCTGACTGTCAATGAAGAATCAGTGAAAGGATATAGGGAATGTGCTTAGCACACTGCATGGCACAAGGCAGCATTTGAAAACATCTGACAATTTTTATCATAAAAAGATGGGCCTGTCTGCCTTTGCATAACACTCTCTTGTGAAGTGAGAATCCAAATGATGAGTCTGTAAGGTTCACCTGCTTCCTGTCACACAGAACCAGATGTGACAGAGGAACCAAGGAACCATCCAGCCCGTCTGGAACTTACACTGAAGAAGGAAAAAACAATGAGGTGGATTTGACTCAGACTCACGCTACCCCATGATGGTCAGAGTAGAATTGTGCTCTGCAGATTTTTTTGGAAGCACCTCTGGGTGGATTCCAACCACCAACTTTGCACTTAGCAGTGAGCAAGGCAACCGTTTGCGCCAGGGCAGAACTCCTGAAGAATAAAATGACCTAGTAAAAAGTATTTCACCAGTTACTTGGGCATGGGAAGGGCTCACAGTGGCCCTATGGGTACTGGTTGCCCTGCACAAACTGTCTCCATTCAGACAGTTCACCTTCCAACATGGACTCATTTTACACCAAAAGACAATGCTAGGAATCATTGAGATTCCCAGGCCACCACCCTCACACCTCCTTTCCTCTGCGTACCGCTATGCCCGCCCCTCCCTATCCCTCACACAAAACTAATTATCCCATACAATTGTAGTGAAGAATGGTAGGAAGAAATACTGTTACAAAACAGAAAACCAATAACATTGATTGGAAATGTTTTATTTCTCTTGAGTTGAATGTTGGTGTTTGAAGAAAAGCCAATTTAATTAGGAAAGGGTAAGGGATAGCTGGCAACTTTGTAGCTGTCCCAAAAGAGACTTTGGGGAGCTTTGGGTGTAGGCAGCACTGTTTGTTTATCCAATAATTCAACATAACTAAAATTCACTGAGTGAATTGTCAGAACCAGAATACAAAGGTACATGATACACGCCTCCTTCCAGGAGCTTCCAGTCAGTGGGTCTAATTTCTCTCAAGAACTTAGAACACTCCTGTTTCTGTTTACAAATGGGTTTCAACACTATTCCTGATGATTTTAACTATAATAAGGGTTAATTTTTGGCTGATGGATGTAGTATGGAAAAGAAGAGATGGGAAACGAGGAACACGCTGAACTAAATAAGTAGGAACTGGACAAGGCAAGGGAGGAAAATCAAAGATGACATGAAAAATGGGAATAAAGGGGTTGTCACTATTGTGTGCCATTGACTCAATTCTGACTCATAGCCACCCTGTGGGATAACGTAGAATTGTCCTAATAGGGTTTCTTCCCAAGACTATAACCTTTATAGAAGCAAACTGCTACATCTTTCTCCCACAGAGGAACTGGTGGGTTCAAACCACTGAGCTTTTGGTTAGCAGCTGAGCACTTAACAATGTTGCCACCAGGGCTCCTTGGAATGAAGGGAAGGGGTGCTAAAAAGTATGTGTCAGGAAGTTAGGAAAATATATGTAGATAGTTTTACATGTGGGAAATGATGAAATCCTATCCCTACCAAACAGTGTAATAGGTTTCTTTTGTAACCTGGTGTGTTTTATTTTAAAAGTCTAAAAATATTATTCAGAGAAGGAATCATAGGCTTCAACATGTCCAAGGTTAAGATTTAAAACACGCAAAACGTAGGATAATTACATCAGATTACAAAACGAAGGACAACCACACAAACTGGGACTCACCCTAACCAAGTTGACACATAGCATTAACCGTCACACTAGAACTTCCGATACAGTATCGAACAGAAGTGATGAGAGTGGGCACCCTTGTCTTGGTCCTGATTTCAAGGGGAAAGCACTCATTTGTTCTCAATTAAGCATAATATTGGTTGTTGGCTTTTCATATGTGTCCTGAATCATACTGAGGAATTTGTCTTCTATTATAATCTTCTCTAGAATTTTTGTCAAGAAAAGGTGTTGGCTTGAAAAGACATGCAGACCAACCCAGAACGGCTAGAGGAATAGAAGGTATTTCTTGAAAGAAAGACCAGCAGTAAAAAAAAAAAAAAAGCAGACTGGTTGGCTGTTAGAATATCAAGCAAGCTGTTTGCCTTGGAGCCAACAAGGTAAGAAAATTAAGACCACTCAGGGTTGTTGTTGTTGTTAAGTACCATGGAGTTGGTTCCTACTCATAGTGACCCTGTACAGGGTTTGTGAGGCTGAAAAACTTTACTGAAGCAGAAAGCCTCATCTTTCTCCCGAGGAACAGCTGGTAGTTTCAAACTGCTGACCTTAAGGTTAGCAGCCTGATTTGTAAGCACTACACTACCAGAGCTCCTTCCTTCTAAGGCTGAAACTCAAAGGGAACACAATAGCAGTCTTGAATGCTCACTGGTCTACTTGGGAGCGCAAGTTGAAAAAATGCAGCAATGAAGACATGGGCTGAGTTTGGCTATGTTCCATAGACACCCATTAACCTTGAGATGAGAGAAAAGAGGAAGGGCTGGCTGGTCTGAAGATCAGGGAGGCATGTGAACTCCCAAGCCCATGGGCACTGACCTAGCCACTGGGCTACAGTTGAGAGTGAAGCGGCCAGTTAGTCTGAAGTATGGAGAGGCATTCGTGAACTCCCAAACTTGCAGATAGTAGCCATTTGACCTAGCTTGAATGGCTAGCTGACCTGAACTTGATCAGATGAAGATAAAGAAGTTTGATACAGGGAGTAAGTATAAATTGCTACAATTTGATGAACTGGACCTTTGCTTATGGATGTAGTTGCTCAAAATTCCAACCAAAAGA